TGAGCGAGAGAGAGAGAGATAGGGAGTGAGCGAGAGAGAGAGAGATAGGGAGTGAGCGAGAGAGAGAGAGATAGGGAATGAGCGAGAGAGAGAGAGATAGGGAATGAGCGAGAGAGAGAGATAGGGAGTGAGCGAGAGAGAGATAGGGAGTGAGCGAGAGAGAGAGATAGGCATACGCAGACAGACACAGATCAGGGAAGATAGGGACAGTGTGAGACATCGACACACGCAGACAAGGAGAGGGAGAGAGAGACAAAAAGAGAGAATAAAAATACAGAGATAGAGAAAAGGAGTGTGAGACAGAGATACTCACGGAGGGAGGGAGACATACACACACACACACACACACACACACACACACAGAGGGAGAGAGAGACAGGAAGATATGCAGATACATACACATACACACACATACTTTGAGGGAGAGAGAGAGATAGATAGAGAGACAGAGACACACACACACACACGGAGAGAGAGAAAGAGAGAGAGAGAGAGAGACACACAAACACAGAGGGAAAGAGAGAGACAGATATACAGACACAGAGAGAGAGAGGCACACACACACAGAGGGAGAGAGACAGACACAGAAAGAGAGAGAGAGGCACACACACACAGAGGGAGAGAGAGACAGACACAGAGAGAGAGAGAGGCACACACAGAGGGAGAGAGACAGACAGAGAGAGAGAGAGAGACACACTCACAGAGAGGTCGGGGGGGAGGGAGAGAGAGAGACACACACAGACATGGACACAGAGAGGGAGGGCACATGGTGGAGGGGGGGGTGGTGGAGGATGATGGAGAGGGGAATGATGGATAAGAAGTGATATACTAAAGTCCGTGACACATGGTCTCTATAACAGCCCCCGTGCTGCTGGCTCTGAATAAATTCCCTTTGTAACACTCCGCAGGGTAAAAGCTGAAGGTAATACTCCGAGACACCATCAGCTTTAGCTCAGTATTCACCTCCACGACTAACCAATCATTCCTCACTCAAACAGGAGAGCTCACAACCTTAACTCGCAGTTACATCTCCTTAGTAACTGGGTGAGGTACAGCATGTGGCAGGAGATGGCATTTCCACCTTAGTCTCGCGTTCTCCCAGAAACACAGCTGAACGGATGTTTGCCGCAGCCCTTTAAAATGCCGCGAAGCTCACCTGCTGTGGACCTGGGCCTTATCGATCAGCGTGCTCGGCCGGTACAGTTTCGCCATCAGTTCCGGGTTCATACTGGGCTGACTGACAGTGAGGATCTCATAGGCAGCTTCTCCCTCTGGGCTGTCCCTCAGGTAGTGAGCTCCATTCAGCTGGTTGTACCTCTGGTCTGAACACAGGGACAAGGGGAACATGGAATCAGTTCAAAACATCTCCTGACTGGGCTGTGAAAGCTCTGCCATTCAGGGATTGAGGGGCGAGGGCGAGGGGGAGGGTGAGGGTAAGTAGGGAGGGGGAAGGTAGTGAAGTTTTACACAAACAAATGTGTCAATTGCTCCTGAATGGGGGGGATGAGAAAAAGAGAGAACACACTCACTCATCTTCATATACACTCTCACTTCCTCTCCCCATCTCTCTCTCTCTCACTCTGTCCCCCTCGCTTCCTTTTTCATAGAAGGTTTGAGTTATAATGAGAGGCTGGGGCTTTTTTCACTGGAGCATAGGAGGTTGAGGGGTGACCTTATAGAGGTTTATAAAATCATGAGCATGGATAGGGTGAATGGCAGGAGTCTTTCCCCTAGGCTGGGGGAATTTCAACACTAGGGGGCATATTTTTAAGGTGAGGAGAAAAATTAAAAATAGACATGAGGGGCAATTTATTTTTTTTTTCGTTTGTGGAATGAACTTCCAGAGGAAGTGGTGGATGTGGGTACAGTTACAACGTTTAAAAGGCATTTGGATAATACATGAATAGGAAAAGGTTTGGAGGGATATGGGCCAGGAGCAGGCAAGTGGGACTAGTTTAGTTCGGGATTATGGTCAGCACGGACTGGTTGGGCCGAAGGGTCTGTTTCCGTGCTGTATAACTTCAACTTTATGACTGTCTGTCTCTGTCTCGCCTAAATCAACGCACACACACACACATCTGGAATTAAGAGTCTAATGATGACCGTGAATCCATTGTCGATTGTCGGAAAAACCCATCTGCTTCACTAACGTCCTTTAGGGAAGGAAACTGCCGTCCTTACCTGGTCTGGGTCTACATGTGACTCCAGACCCACAGCAATGTGGTTGACTCAAACTGCCCTCTGGGCAATTAGGGATGGACAATAAATGCTGCCTGACCAGCGACGCCCTCATCCCGTGAATGAATGAACAAAGAAAAAAGCACACCGACACACAAGGAGGGTCTAGGCCCGAAACGTCAGCCTTCCTGCTCCTCTGATGCTGCTTGGCCTGCTGTGTTCATCCAGCTCTACACCTTGTTATCTCACATACAAGTAACTGGATGTGGGAATATGATGCCTCTCTGTGCCAGTCCCTCACCACAGTCACGCCGGCCACGGACAGAGAACAAGCCTCTGGTGAGCTGCTCGGATGGGCTTGTACAGTCCGTGGTGGAAATGAAGCTGTTGTAGTGACAGTGACCCCCACGTACACAGTCTCCCAGTCTCAGCGACCAGAAAGGACAGAAGGGACCGTGACTCACCACACCACCCACAGCCACCAGGTGGCAATGCTGAGTCAGGCTCAGCTCAACACTGCCTCCCTCAGGGCAGCAGAGGCACTGCCCAAGTGAAACAGAACAGAGTGGAGATAGTAGGAACTGCAGATGCTGGAGAATCCGAGACAACAAGGTGTAGAGCTGGATGAACACAGCAGGCCA